ACTTCTGCTAACAAACTTATCTCCTTTCCTTCTTTGGCTGTATGCATAAATAGTGATCCAAACACCCGTAGGTGTTCATATGATGGTGGTTTCCTACGAATAATTTCATATGGGGTTTTCCATTTAAAACAAGTGATGGTGTTCTATTAATCAAGTATCCTGCAATTAAAACATATGTACTCCATAATTTAATTGGAAGATTTCCTTGAAACATTAGTGTTCTTGCTAAATTTAAAATATATTTGAATTTCCTCTCCACTCTTCCATTTTGTTGATGTGTTCTCATACACAAGGTCTAATGAATAATGCCACTTTTAACGAATTCTTTTTTCAAACAAGTGAATTTTTATCTTACTATCACCCCTAACAATCTTAACTAGCTTATTATACTGTCTTTCAACAAGAGAAAAACAATTATCATCATTTGTGACACTTTCTTTTTATCACGTAAACAAATATATCTAAATGGCACAAGAGTAATCATTGATTAATGTCAAAAAATAAGATGCACCACAAGATCTTCTTCTATAAGGTCCTCATAAATCACATCAAGTAAAATTTGTCTGATGCTTTATTATCACTCAAGCAAAATTTATCTCTTGCTTGTTTTGCTCACTTACAAATCTCTCACTTTATTTAAATGCTCACTATTATGATTACTTGCATTTGAAATCAAATTAACAACCTTTAAAAATGGGTTCCCCAAACATTTATGCCAAAGCTCTAACTTATTTTTTACATTGATCTAGAAAGCCTTCACATCTTGGACACCATGGTAAAAATATATCTCATCTTTTCATTCACCTACTCCAATCAAGATCCTCAAAGTGCGTTCATATATCACACACAATCTGTTAGTAAACTAGATAATCCATTTGGATTCATTTATCATCTATGATACTGAAATTAGACTGCAATTCAATTTTGGCACATAAAGAACATTTTTCAAGTCTTAATCCTCCATCAAGAATTGCAATTCCTTCTTTGATTGCAATCACATGTTGTCTATCTAACAAATCCACAGGACATCTTGAAACAATTCCCAGATTGTATAGATTTTTTAAATTTCCTATCATGTAATTAGACGCTCTAATGTCTATGATCCATGAATCATGTATGTTCTTACAAATCACCTTCTCATTTATATTTGCTTTTGATTATTCAACATGTCAACTAGAGTTTGTCGTTGCTCGTTGCTTGGCTAAGCTAATCAAGATTTTTTGGTGTATACTACAAAATTACTTGCAATTCCTCCTAGAACCTATGCTGCCTTAGCACGCACTACACCACCTTTTCTATATCTTACATTGAATCTACTTCGTTGTTGAGCTTTGCCTTGGCTACTAGTCCTTACCTCGTTGTGACGTCACTCTTCGCACCAAGAGAAGTACTTCTTCAAGAGAATGTAACAATGTTTTTATATATAATTGACCAGAATATTCGCTATAGAGTTGTTGTAGATCGCTTTCAATGGAAATAATTTCTCGTTATTTTAAGCAAGTATTAGGAACAGTGTTCTTATTGAAAAAAGAGCTGATAAAAATGGAATCTAAATAATTACCTAGCAAGATTAAAAATGAGTCAAGTGTTTTGTTATATTTCGTAATGAGTTGAGGGCAAAGAGTTCTTTAGTGACTCAAGGAAGGTACTTCTTCAAGAGAATGTGACTATATTTTTATTTATAATTAACCAAAATGTTCGCTATAGAATTGTTATAGATCGCTTTTGAAATTAACAATTTCTCATTATCTTAAGCAAGTATTAGGAGTAGTGTACTAATCAGGAAAAAAGATGATAAAACAAGAATCTACATAATTACCTAGCAAGATTGGAAATGAGTCAAGAAAGAGTGCTCTTTTAAATTTTGTGATGAGTTTAGGGCAAAGAGTGTCTTCAGGGACTTAAAGGAGGTACTTCTTGAAGAGAATATTGCTATGCTTTTATTTATAATTGACCAGATTATTCATCATAGAGTTGTGGTAGATCGCTTTCAACTTTCAACAAAAATAATTTCTCTTTATTTTAAGCAAGTATTAGGAGCAGTGTGCTTATTGGAAAAAGAGTTGATCAAACAAGAATTACAAAATTACCTTGCAAGATTAGAAATAAATAAAGAAAGAGTACTTTGTTAAGTGTTATAATGAGTTAAGTGCAAAAAGTTAATTAGAAGACTCAAGGGGGATACTTCTTAAAAAGAATATTGCTATATTTTTATTATAATTGGCTAGAATGTTGGCCATATAGTTGTTGTACATCACCTTTAACTTTCAACAAAAATAATTTTTTGTTATATTAAGCAAGTGTCATGAACAGTGTCCTTATTAGAAAGCAAGTTGATAAAACAAAGATAAAGAATTACCTTGCAAGATTAGAAATGAGTGAAGGAATGCTTTGTTAAATTTTATAATGAGTTGAAGGTAAAAAGTTACTCAAGTGACTCAGGGGAGGTACTTTATAAAGAGAATGTCACTATCTTTTTATTTATCGTTGACTACAATGTTCGTCATACAATTGTGGTATATTGCTTTGAACTTTGAACAGAAAGAATTTTTCATTATTTTAAGCAAATATTAAGAATCGTGTGCTTATTGGGAAAAGAGATGATAAAACAATAATCTCATAATTACCTTGCAGGATTAGAAATGAGTCAAGAAGAACTACTTTATGAAATTTTGTAACAAATTGAGGGCAATAGTTACCTAAGTTACTCAAGGGGGGTACTTCTTGAAGAGAATGTTGCTATATTTTTATTCACAGTTGACTAGAATGTTTGTCATAGAATTATGCTAGATCATTTTCAACTTTCAACAGAATCAATTTCTCATTATTTTAAGCAAGTATTAGGAGTAATGTGCTTATTAGTAAAAGAGTTGATAAAACAAGAATATACAAAATTACCTTGCAAGATTATAAAATAGTCAAGAATGAGTGCTTTGTTAAATTTTGTAATGAGTTGAGGGTAAAGAGTTACTTAAGTGACTCAAGGGAGGTACTTTCTAAAGAGAATGTTGATATCTTTTTATTTATCATTAGCTAGAGTGTTCACCATAAAGTTGTTGTAGATGGCTTTTAACTTTAAACAGAAACAATTTCTCCTTATTTTAAGCAAGTATTAGGAGATGTATGCTTATCGAGAAAAGAGTTACTAAAACAAGAGTCTACATAATTACCTTACATGATTAAAAATGAGTCAATGAGTGTTTTGTTCAATTTTGTAATGAGTTAAGGGAAAAAAGTCACTTCAAGGACTCAAGTGAGGTACTTTTTAAAGAGAATGTTACTATTTTTATTTATAATTGACCAAAATGTTGGCCAAAAAGTTGTGGTAGATAGCTTCCAACTCTCAACATAAACAATTTCTTATTATTTTAAGCAGGTATTAGGAAATGTATGCTCATTCAAAGAAGACCTAATAAAAATTGAATTTACATAATTATATTGCAAGATTAAAAACGAGCCAAGAAGAAGTGTTCTATTAAATTTTGTAGTGTTAAGGGCAAAGAGTCACTTAAATGACTCAAGGGAGGTACTTCTTAAAAATAATGTTATATTTTTATTTATAATTGACCATAATGTTTGTCGTAGAGTTGTTATAGATCCTTTTTAATTTTCAACAAAAACAATTCCTCATTATTTTAAGCAAATATTAGAAATAGTGTGATTACTGGAGAAAAAAGTCAATAAAATAAGAATCTACAGTATTACCTTCCAGGATTAGAAATGACTCAAAGAGTTCTTTGTTAAATTTTATAATAAGTTGAGGGTAAAAAATTACATAAGTGACTCAAGGGAGGTACTTCCTTAGGAGAATGTTGCTATGTTTTAATTCATAATTGATCAAAATGTTCATCATAAAGTTGTGGTAGATCCCTTTCAACCTTCAACAAAAATAATTTCTCATTATTTTAAGTAAATATTAGTAACAATGTGCTTATTGGAAAAAGAGTTGATAAAATAAGAATCTACAGAATTACTATTCAAGATTAGAAATGAGTAAAGGAGTGGTTTCTTAAATATTGTAATGAGTTGAGTGCAAAAAGTTGATTAAGAGACTAAAAGGAGATACTTTTTAAAGAGAATGTTGCTATGTTTTTATTTATAATTTGCTAGAATGTTGGCTATAAAGTCGTTGTAGATCTCCTCAACAAAAATAATTTCTCATTATCTTAAGGATATTGGCTATAATGTGCGTATTGGAAAAAAAGTTGATAAAACAAGAATATACAAAAGTACCTTGTAAGATTAGAAATGAGTGAAGAAACACTTTGTTAAATTTTGTAATGAGTTAAGGATAAAGAGTTACTCAAATGACTTGGGGGAAGTACTTCCTAAAGAGAATATCACTCTCTTTTTATTTATCTTTGACTAGAATGTTCGTCATAAAGTTGTGGTTCATCGCTTTGAACTTTCAACAAAAAGAATTTATCGTTATTTTAAGCAAATATTAAGAAGAGTGTGCTTATTGGATAAAGAGCTAATAAAACAAGAATCTACAGAACCACCTTGCTAGAATATAAATGAGTTAAGAAGTGCTTTAAGAAATTTTTTAATGAGTTTAGGGCAAATAATTACTTAAGTGACTCAAGGTAGGTAATTCTTGAAGAGAATGTTACTATGTTTTTATTCACAATTGATCAGAATGTTCACCATAGAGTTGTGGTAGATTGCTTTTAACTTTCAACAGAAATAATTTATGGTTATTTTAAGCAAGTAGTAGGAACAGTGTGCTTATTGGTAAAAATGTTTATAAAAAAATAATTTACAAAATTACCTTACAAGATAAAAAATAAAAAATGGAGTATTTTATTAAATGTTGTAATGAGTCAAATGCAAGAAGTGACTCAAAGGAGATACTTTTTAAAACAAATTTGCTATGTTTTTATTTATAATTGGCTAGAATGTTTGCCATAGAATTATTGTAAGTCACTTCTAACATTCAACAAAAATAATCCTTTATTATTTTAAGCAAGTATTAAGAATAGTGTGTTTATTGTAAAAAAACCTAATAAAACAATTTCTCATTTATATTTGCTTTTTGATTATTTAATATGTCAACTAGAGTCTGTCATTGCTCAGCCTAGCCAATCAAAATTTCCAATGTCTACTACAAAATTACTTTCATTTCCTCCTACAACTTGTGCTACATTAGCATGCACTGCACCACATCTTCCATATCTTACATTAGATCTACTTCGTTGTTGAGCTTTGCCTTGGCCACTAATCCTTACCTCGTTGTGGTGACTCTCCCCACAATCTGGATATCTAATTAGCTGAAAACAGCCACCAGCATCATGACTTGACTTGCCAGAATTTAGGCATACCGTTGATCTATCATGTGCTTCTCCCCAACAACCCATTCCATGATTTCTCTCCATTCTTCTTTGACTTGAGTAATTGTTTTCATCCTCTCTTCTTGTACAATAGTGGAGTACACCCTATTTATTGATGTCAAAGGGTCCCCTGCTAGTATATTAGATTAGAGTGCACAGTCTCATAGTTCATATCATCTAAGCCCATCAAAATTTGATGAACTCTTTCTTCCTCTCTTCGTTTTTCAAGTTTAGATGCAATATCTCATTTGCATCCTCCATAAGAACACATCAGCTAATAGTTTGCAAGCTCGTCCCAGAATGTCTTTAGTTTTCCATAGCAGAAAACCATGGTCATTTCTTGTTGCTTGCAATTTGCTAATTCCACTTTCATTCAATCGTGACATATGCGAAAAATGCATTCTTTATAGTTTACTCTCCGCAACTGCACTTGCGTGATCACGTTCCCATTATTGTCACTTAGCTAAACCCATATGGAGATGGAATTCTCTTGTACAATCAGAGTGAGGTTTTTCGGTTTTTGTCATCATATGGCTCTTGATACCATAATAAATTTGTATTCCCCGTTCTGTTTTTCATTGATATAGACATGTATATATATACATATAAAGATATGAACCGTACCTATCAATCACTTAACACTACTCTATAATTAAGAGACTACCTAAAATAACTAAATCAAATGTAAACATATTACTCTACAGATATTTGTCATATCACTAGCAGGTATGATATTATCTCAATATATTACCCGTTTTTTTATGGTTTGGAATTTTTTTAGGTATGGGATTCTCACTTTATTGTGAATAAAAAATTAGGATAAGGGTATCATCGCACAAAGAACATTTATAAAAAAATAAAAAAAAAGAAGGGGGGTGATTTTACATTTATTTACCTATCCCTAGAAATATAGATTAAGACTTCATCCCACTGCTTCTCATACGAAAATTTTCACATTCTCTATGCTTAGGAATATGTATTGCCAATCTTATATATTTATTAACCAATTGAAAAAATAAAGTTTATTTAAAGAGAAATGCTGATAGATAATTTAGAACGACAGCAAACTCACCCTATCAAGTACTGACACAATGATATGCATAGATTGCCTATTGAGAAAGATTGATAGCGGGAATCGAACTAAAGCCTTTCAAGCCCTCACAAAATGTTGGTATTCAAGTTCCTCTTGAACTTTATTCTTCCAGGCACACTTGACCAACTATTAGCAAAGTCAAAATATGCTAAAATCCCTTTTTCGAATTTAGTTATTCAAATTTTACTTCAAACTCATTTCTAAAGAAAACCAGTTTTATAACGATACAAAATCAAGCTTGCAACTGCTCCCACCTAAACACTAAATTTGCTTTCAGAATCTAGTTCATGGTAAATACCACAACCATGAATGTCAATGACACCGTACCAATTGCCAAAGAAAACCATGGAATCGAAACATGGATACCAAAAATTTGGAGAAAAAAAAAAGAGAAATGAATAAATCCAAACACACCTTGATATGAAAATTAAAAAGCAGTTCCTGCTCACATTTGAAGCTTAAGATCTCTACAAGTCTTTGAAATACCAATATTCAAACATTTGCAAGCAAAAACCAAAATGGGCACCTGATACTCTAACAGAGACTTGAATACCAAAATCAATCCACTAACATGAAAGATCTCAAAATAAACATTTCTAAGATGTCTCCCAATGATACATAAAATCTCATATAACAACCAAAGTGTACTAGTTGAAAGAAATTCATAACAAAATTTGAAAATTCCACATGAACTCATGCCTAAGATGCACTCTTCTTCAACTTAGCAAGCTCTTGCCTAACAATAGCTGCCCTCTGCACAAATTAAAAAAATTATTTATTAGCATCAACTCCTCCCAAATAAAAATACCATGACATATCAACACAATAGAACAAACTCCTTTCCCTTATGTCTAAAAGAGGTTTTACCAACTGTGAGAAGGTAATGCTACAAAAATTTGAATTGGAAAAAATGTATGGGCATGAAGAATGTAATCAACCTTGATCTTTGCCAACATTATCTTGAACCTATCAAAATCATTGAGGGATGCCCTCCTCTTCTGCACAATCAATTTTCTACCCCATGAACTTTTCTCCCACTTGTTCTTAACATCTGTTCAACAACAAAAAAACGATGAACAAAAAGAATGCTTCCAATAAAATAACAATTTCTTGGTGAAAACTTGTACCAACCAGCAGCCTCCATCGCTTGAATGAGATCCTTCTTCTTGGGGATCCTCTTAATATCAATCTTAATGTCAGTGAGTGAGAGCCTCTTGAAATTCATTTGCGATCTCACCATATCAGGGGCATCAACAAGAGCCTGTCAACATAAGTTGGACAAGTCATGCTATTACACTGTTTCACCAACAAATAATTGATAGCTGTAACAACGATAAGTCCAAATTATCAATATCGCGTACACCTCTTAACTGGTTCAATGGAATTTGATATTGTCACATGCCAAATCAATACCTAGACCCCTAACAGCTCAAAATTTCATTTACTTGATGCTCCACAATCACAAGCATACAAAGCTAAAACCAATAGTTCCAAAAAACGAGTAAAACAAAACAGAAATGCAAAACCTAAAACCATGCATCATACTTATAAGCTCGATGTACCCTTCCAACTTCGTCAATGGCATTTGATATTATCAGATACCAAATTGATAACTACCCTCCCCCACCCCCAAACAGCTCAAAATCTCATCTAGTTGAAGCTAGAGACATAAGTACAAATAGCCTTGCAAATCAATCAAAATATAACCAAGAAATATTAATAAATAAGAAAAACACAAAATTTAAATATTAGAACAAATTTTGCTAATGGCAAAGAAAACCATAACGACATTTCATCGACACCCAGATGGGAAAAAATTGAACTTTTTTGCTTAAAGCTCATAACAAACCAAACCAAAAAAATGGGCACACAAAAATTTACCGAAAAGTAACAAAAGAGATAAAAAGAAAATTAAATGGGCATACTCTGTTCTGGTCAATGACATCGACAATGACCACGAGCCTCCCATACTCTTTCCCATAGTTGATCTGAGCAACCCTTCCAATCTCAACGTACCTCTTGAAAGGCTGCAAAAACGAATCAGAAAAGAAAAAGCAGCAAAATTACGATTAGAAGCCAATAACCCAGATGCAGAAACAAACAAGGACCAAGAAAAAGTGAAAAGGGTTGGTCACTTAGGACTCACCATTTTTTCCTATGGAGTTTCTGTGACTGCCGAAGGAAGTGAAAGCAAGTGAGGGGTAAGAACTAGGGTTTTTGTTGGAGTTGCAATTATAAAGAGAAAGAGGCATGTAATGATGTAACGGCTTGGGCCAAAACAACAATAGAATCACGAATATTGATGACAACGTTAACACGGACTACAATGTTGTTGCGGAAGCCCAGATAGTTTCTGTATTTTCAGGCCCAAACCTAATCTCGATTTATAATTATTATTGATTTAATTTTGATTTAGACCCAAAAGAGCAGTTCAATTTTGATATTCCTTTACTCACTAATTTTCTTTTATATTCCTGTATTGAATGGTTCAGAAATTTAAATGAAAATAATAATCTTTTCCTGCATCGCATTCGCATTATTAAAATAAAATATGTTTTTAAATTATAGAATTCAAAATATAGTTTATAAATTAAAAATGATAAATATTATAATTATTAATAATAAATATTTGATTATACTAAACAAAACTCATAAATAAATAATTTTTTAAATTAAAAATAATTTACAAAAAAGTTCAAAATTTAAATTAGTATTAAATTAAAAATAAATAAATATTTATGTAAAAAAATTATTTGATATAATGAAAAGGAGAGATAATTCTTAAAATACTCTTATTTAAAACGCTCTTATCAGTAATTTTATTTAAAAATTAATATTAACACATTATATATATATATATATATATATATATATATATATAACAAGGAAACAATAATGTCAGAATTATAAATATATTAACATGGTTTTTAAGAATAAAAATCAGCATTTAACATCTTTATATTTCTTCTTTTAATATAACAGTTTTTTATCAAATATAAAAAATAGTAGGCTTTAACGTAGATTGTGAATAGAAATTTTTATTCTAACTAAATACCTTTTTACTTTGATTCCGTTTCACATTTATAAATTAATCACAATTATCATCTATCAAAATCTATTTATAAAATCACTTTTGCATAATATTTTTAAATCAACATAGATATTAATTTACAGTTCACAAGTCTAATCATGATTAAACTGTGATCAAAATAAATATAATTAAACATATATTTTAACTAATAAGTTCTTTAGTTTTGTGTATTGTAAAAGTATTATTAAATTAAAATGTGTTTAAATAAAAACATATTACATGATTAATTTTTAATTTATTATTTTTAAATTAAAATAATATTTATTATTAAGAGTAACTATTTTATTATATTTAATAAAAATAAATTGAAGAAGCAACTTTTTGAGAATTTAAAAACAAATCAACTTCCGGTCTTTATTCTTAAAGAATAGTATTTTTACAAACTATTTTAAAATTAAAAAATAAATTAAATTTTATGTATTAATTATGAATCTTCATTGTTGAGAGAATGTTTTTAAAAGCTATCTTAAGTGAGAGAATTTTTAAAAGTTACTCTATTTTTTGTATTACACGTCTTCTTTTATTATGTTTTTTTATAATCAAAGGAGGGTCAATTCGGTAAATAACAGAAACTGTAAACAGGCCGTGACTAATCCACCTATAATTAATATAAAAAACATAAAATTTATAAAATTATAAAAATAAATCAATAATATTTATATATCAATAATTATTTTATTTTTAAATTAAAAAATAAGCTTGACAAGTAATTAATCATTAACTTGCATTTTGATGAATTAAAGCGAAGCAGACTTAATGGACCAACAAGCATAAGAGTTGTTTAATTTATTGTATTAAAATATATATTTTTAGGATAAAATATAAAATTGTCAAAATAACTAAAAAATAAGAGAAGGTTTAAATTATGTTTTAGAAAGTAAATTAAGAGTTATTTGCAATATATTTAAAAATAAATTTATAATATATTTTTTTATATTAAATGAGCTCAAAAGACTTAACAAGACAACTCCTCAAAACACAATTATAGGATGCTAAAACACTATCAGCATCCAAGGCTCAAGACAGAAAGAAGGGAAGAAGGGGGAAGCTTGAATCCAATATAGGAAGATAACTCCTCAAGGCCAAATTTAGTTGATAGATCAACACATTTATTAGTCTTTTTATAAACATCCATAATTCTAATTTTACTAATAAAGTACTAAGGATAAGACCAACAACCTCCCTAGACTTATTCTCAATCCAAACATTATGAATATGATAATTGACCACCAATTAAACATCTAAGAAAATGCCTCAAAGCTTAGCAACTAGAAAATCTATTTTATTGTAGAACCCAGTGACCAACTTCCCTTAACCATCACGAATGAGACCTCCACAGGAAAAGACATGAAATCTAGAATTAGAGACAACTTCATCTATGTTCAGCTTAAATTGACATGTAGGAGGAAGGCAAGATCTAAAACATCTAGGATTAGAGACCATGTTTGGGAGGGTTTTGGAAATAAGCCTACAACCATATAGAAAGTAATCATTCTCATACAAAGCTTTATGGACAATTTCCTTCGTTTAAGCAGAATGATTTGAAAATATAAAATCATTCATATTCTTCTATAAAAATCAAAGAACATAACTAAATAAAAATTTTCTAATTTTGAAAAAGACTTAGAGATAAATTAGATAGGTTTAACATTAACCAATTAGAAAGACTCAAGATGAAAAAGGAATCCACTAATTTAGGAAAATTAAATGATTTCACACATCCTTAGTAAAAACATAATCCCTTAACAAATGCATGACAATTTCAGCATGATCACCACACTTAGGACAAGTTGAAGAAGGAGACATATTCCTCCTAAACTTTTCCTCATAAATAAGTAGCCTCCCACGAGCAATTTTTGAAAGTAAAAATACAATTTTACAAGGGCCTTTCCACTTCTAAATTAAGTTTAAAATGTTATTATAGGGAATAGAAATACTAAAAGATATAGCAAGCAGATGATATATGGATTTAATGGAAAATAAACAATTGCTTGTTAGAGATCAAAACATATTATCTGGGCCACTGGTCATAACAGGAGGATTGACTAGAGCAATAGAGTTACATATACTATTAGGGAGAACATCTTGAATTTTGGCCCAATCCCAATTCCCATTGACAGAAAACAAGGCCACAGGGGTATTCAAATATATCTTAGATATGGAGTATTTAGAATAATTAGCTAAGTTTTTAATATTAGGTAATTAATTATTAGTCCAAAATTTAATGGATATATCATCTTTAACAAGCCACCCTAGTCCCTAGGAGAACTCAATCCAAAGAGAGGTTATACTTTTCCAAAGGTAGGAAGTAGATTGACCTTACCTAAAACTAAGGGATTGGCCTAATATGAATCGGCATTTGTGACAAAGAATTTGGGCTCAAAGATTAGATGGAGAAGTGGCTAATCTCCAACATAATTTCATCAGAAATACCTTATTAAGGGTTGCAAGATTTTTGAAACTCAAAGCCTTTCAACTTTTGGTTTACAGATTTTTTGCTAACTAATCAGATTACATTTTTTCCCACTTAAAGATCCCCAAATAAACTTCTTACAGAGACTATTAATTTCATTATAGACAGATATAGAAATTAGAGTAGATTGCATAACATATAAAAATATTAAAAATACCAGGCTTGAATTTAGCTATTTCTAGTCCTAAAAAATAATTCAAATCACTAGCACTTTTGAGTTTGAAAAGATACTATAATAGAGTTTGAGTTTCTTTGAGCATAGCATGGTTAGGACTTATAAGAATTATGTCATCAAAGTATGCTAAAAGAATCACAAGAGAGTGACTAGGTCCAAGGGTAAAGATCAAATAATCACTTTTAGATTAAACAAATCCATGGGAGAACAAGGTGGGGTTGAACTTTTGAAATCATTATCTAGAAGTTTGACGCAATCCATAAATGAATCTATTTAGTTTACAAATAAGTTGCTCCTCCTTTCTAGAATGTCCCAAGGGCAGATCCATATATATTTCTTTAAAAAAAATCATTTAGAAAGTGTTATACTCATCAAGTTGAACAAGAGACTATTATTTAATGGTAGTTATTAATAATAGGACTTGCATAGTTGTTAATTTGACAAAAATATAAAAAAGTGTCAAGAAAATTTATACATGCTTGTTAATTATATCCTTTCACTACATATTATGCTTTTTACTTGTGTATAATCCAATTAGAACCCATGATTTGCTTATTTGGAAGCAATGAAGCAAATGTCTAAGTTGATTTTAAGACAATTAATTCCTCATGCATTGCTTAATGTCAATAAGGACATTTGATTGTTTGATGATAAAATTGTGGCTTGATACACTAAAGACAAGCTTTATGGGATAATGATAAATTGTAGTGTTGAATGTAATTATGAATGAAGTATGATGAGTTAGAAGAAATGTTAGTGGTTCAAGCATAATTAAAAATGTTAGTGGTCATGTTATCTAGCTTGATCTTTTGGGAGCAACAATGATAAAATAATTTGAAGGAGCAACAAGGTAATGTTCATAATGATTAAGACCAAATTTAATTTTCTTATTACCGCCAACCACTCATATTAATACTACTAAAACTCAATGGTCATACAATGTTAGCAATATTTTTTCTAAGCTATCACCCTCAATAGTCATGCAAGGAAAAAAGAAAGGGAAAACATAAAGAGTCTATGAGTTTGTAATTTAATAATAATTGAAAGACCAAAAACTAAATTTGGTCCACTTAATTACATGTGGTACGGTCTTGCCTACAATGCAAACAATTATGATATATTAAGAGTGACTAATTCCTAACATATAAATATAAGATCAACAGGATAAAAATCAATCAAGAAAGGAAATTACAATTGTCATCAAACATAAAGATTGCATAAAGCATGCAAAGGATCTACTATAGCCCTAGTTATAGATTAGCTACTCATAATAAAATAAACAATGAAAATAATTGTAAAAAAATCATAGTCATTTGAAAAGAAAACACAAACTAAAAGAATTCTAAGGAAAAAGAGATGAGAAGAGTTCTTGTCCTCAAGACTCTCAATCACTTCCTTAGACTCCAGAAAGATATCTCTGTCTTCAATAATGCTCTTCACTTCCAAAAGGCTCCCAAGTCGTTATAAGTTTGGGTAGGTAAAAGGTGTATAAGTCGAAAGGTCTTCTAGAGAAAAAGTGTTGTTGAGAGAAAAATGATGTTTCT